TTTTTTCTGTGCACAAATTAGCCTGACTTCTCTGTTTTATTATTTTATTCATTTTAGGGCACAACTGCGATGGAAGATGACCCTCATACCTATGGTCAAGAAGCAAATATACCATCTAATGACAGGATCAAACATGAAGGTTTAAAATCTTGTTTTAAAAAGAAAATGCAATGAATCTTATCTACCTTTAGAATTTATTCCTAATAGAAGTGCAGAACACCTGGATAGCAAATGTATCATTTGCAATAAAATATTCTCAATGGTTTCTTGGCACCCACTGAACTGAAAAGACACCTAGAAACAAACCACCCACATCAGTTTTTAATGGACATCATTTTTTTTTCAAAAACCACAAGGGAGTCTAAAATGCTGCTGTGGCTTGCTTACAGATATATGCAAAGACCAATAATAAAAACATAACTGAAGCATCATTTCCCTCTAAAATGTCAGAATTGTCTATGCTGAGAAAACACATACAATTACGGAGGATCTCATAAAATTATATGTGAAAGAAATAATATGTTGGATGCTTAAAGAGGAGCCAGTGAAAAAAATTTTAGCAGTCCAATGTTCTAATAACACTATGTCCAATTATATTCATAAAGTGTCAGATTATGTCGGAGATGAATTAATTCAGAGACTGAAAAATTGTAAAGCATTTTCAGCTGACTAGATGAGAGTACAGATGTCACTGGATTTGTAATATTGCTTGTTTTTGCGAGATATATGTTCGAATAATCTATCAAAGATTATTTTCTATGCATACCTGGACATAAAGCACAATTTCAAAAGTATTTTAAGTAGAAAAATGAAACAATTTTATTTATCACGTTAGGTATAAATCCAATATTTTCTTGCAACAAAATAAATGTTTGTGGTTGAATCTAATATTTTTGTACCAAAATAAAGGTTTGTGATTATATTAAAAATGTTTTCTCTTTATTTTCAAATTGATTATGTAATGCAAAACACTCAGTCAATAAGAGTAGATAAAAAAGGATGGTGTAGCTTCACAATGTTTAGCAAAAATCAGGGATAAAATTAGGACTGTGGGGAAAGAATGCCTTCTGAAGGGTTCCTTTCTTAACCGTGCCCTGGGGAATGGTGAGAGGAAGCATTTGTCAGTGGCAGAAGCATTGCTAAGGCTGAAGTTGAGGCCTGTGGGCAATGACAGTTGGCTGAGACTATTGATGGTTCCAGGCCTTTACTTCAAGCTCAGACACACTGTTGTAGCCAAGTGTGGCTATGCAATATTATTTAGATTTGGTGGGGGAATATTAGATATAGGGAGTTAAGTGGCATTTCTCAAAGGCAGTCACAAGGCGGGAGCTGAAATTAGGTCCTTGGGAAGATGACAGTAGGCTGAGACTGCTAAAGGTGCTGGGCTTTTACTTTAGGCCCAACCCTGGCATTGCCATTAAGAAGTGCTGCCCTTCCTCAATGCAGCAGGCTGAGAAAGCTGAAGTTTGCACCGCACTGCAGCTTGCATAAGGCTTGCACTAAGCCTCCCAGGGTTCCCCTACCTCCCTGACGTACGCTCATGCTCCTTACCTAACAACCTGTGAGATCACCTAATGACCACAAATGGGAGTGCTGGGATTGCAGTCATTGAGAAAAGCAGTCAGGGGTCATCACATTTAACTGCTGCTTTGTTCAAAAACCAAGATTCTGGTCCCAATTGTGATTGTGAGTCAAAGACTACCTATAAACTTGAAAGATGCATAGCAAAAATCACTGAAAAAAATGAAATATTCAATTTAATTTGCAGAAGATGCAATAAGCTATATTCTGATTTCATAGTGGCTTCAGTCAGGAGTGGAGTCTAGCTATGCTATGTTAAAGGATTCAAGAAGTAATCTAGTTTTGTGCAGGACGGACAGATCAGATCTCTCAGGACAGAACTAATTCTAAGAACAGAGACTAAGCAGATCTGTGAAGTTTAAGGCTAAGGCGGAGACAGATTCAGAAGTTGATTTCCAAGAATAAATAGTGTTGACAATAGTCTATTTTATTTAATACTATGGAACTAGAGAAATTCAATGGGCCCATTAATAATCCTGTTAAGGACAGAAAATGCATGGATGAGGCAGGTGGGTTATGTAATTGTATATGGGAATGACCCTGAAAGACATAGTGAAGAGAAACAGCCAAAGGAATGGTCTGAAAATTCAAAGATAATTTAGCCTGCAGTAGGAATTGGATGGACCAAATGGTTTAGAAAGGAACCCCCCTCCTCCCCGGCTTCTTGGGCTGTAGAGAAGAGAAAAAATGAACTTTCAGGCTTGCAAGATTCTGTTAATGCCACCTTACAATGAAGTAGAATTAGCTCATCTGGCCATGTTTTTTGTCTGGTTTAACTCATGAGTCTAAGTTTGCTCAGAGGAAAGAACTATTTATTCTAGGAATTCTAGGAACTATTTCAATGGGTCATATAAAATCTAATTGCTTATTATGTTCCTAACAGGTGCTTTTGACTAGAATTAGTTGGATGGGAGGTTCTATTTTGTCCATCAGTTATGTACTGATTATATTTTGCTAGATCCCAAAATATAATTTTGGAAGGACAGAAAGCTGCACTCAGCAATTTAACATTTGATGTCTCATAATGATGATCAATTATTGTCACCTGCCCTCTGGAACAACATTCACTATAGAAATTTGATGACACCTGTATTATCAGCCTTTAAAAAAAAATTAAAATATGCCTCTTTCCCCAGCCTATGCTTAAAGTGTTCAACAGGGGAGGGTGTGGGCTTTTATCTCTGAAGCTGGAGAAAGAGAATTGAGACTGTTATTCCCTCCAAATGATTTTATTTGGAATTGTTGTTGTTTATTACTTTATAGGTTATACTCTTGGTCAATGAAAATTTATTTATGCTACAATAAAAGATCAGCAGACAATACAGTAACTATAAAAATAAGGTTTTAAAATATGATAGATAGAATTGATAGAATGTTTAAAACCTTCTTAGAGGTTTCTTACCCAAGAGTAGGATCACAGACTCCTAGTCACAATGGCAATTAGAGATAATAAAAGATTAAAGTATTGAACTTGTCCATCATTGGGTATACAAATGGATATTTTAATAGCACACGATGAATTCTCCATCCGAAAATGAATAGAAACAAGTATGGCTTTCATAGGGAGGCTTATATATCTACCAATTATTACCTAACAGATACGTCCCAATTTGGGCTGTGTTTAGTTACAGTTGTTAACAACTTTGTTTAGAGTTTAGACCAACATTTTTAGCTTGAGACACCTGAAATACTAACTCATTAAATTCTTTAACACTAAAAAAATTACTATTACTTTTTATAGATATTTGTTACCAATAAACCAATTTGAAATGCAGATATTAAGAAATTAATAAAATAAAAAATTAGAGGTTTCTATATTACCCTAGTCCACAAGTCATAAAAGAGCCATAGTTCCCTACCCTTAATCTAGACAATGGGAGATTTTTTCACTTGCTATAGCAAGTGTCAATGGACTTCAAATTAAGACTTACATAACAAAAAAAAAAAAAATTACCAGTATGTAGATCTTACTAAACTCTACCACATTTATATAGAAAATGACCATCAAAACAGCATTTGCTAGAGATATTTCTTTAAAACATATGTTTCTACAATATCCTATACTTATCAAGCTTTGGAAAAAGTAGCGGGTTATAATATAATTGCATGACAAAAGCTACAATTTTCAGAGAATATTATTATTTTGAACTATATCCCTGAATATGGAATTTAAGAACCAGAAAGCATAAATGGATTCTCTGTGCCCTTATTATGACCAAAAGACATATTGTAGCATTAGAAAGATAAATGTATGGCCCATTTAGTCATTGGTTTGAAGACTTTGATTGTTCTTGTCCCTTAAAAGTGGATTGACTATAGATGTAGAGTTCTAGTCCTCTTTGGATGAAAGCTGGCTGAATAACTTTGGAAAAATGGCAGGAAAAAGGATTATGTGTGCTCATCACCTTGAATTATTTATAAAACAATAAAGGTAAGATTTAAAAAATCTAAAAAGTATAGAATATAATTGGTTGAAACAAAGACAGTGATGTAAATGTGTTAGAATTATATACACACTTGAATATTTGCATTAAATAAGTATATTTAGAGTTGTAATGTTATAATGACTTATACTGCTGTGTAGTATGTGTTTTGTTAAAGCACATTTGTATATTTCTTTGACAATGTATATATATCATTATGGCCTTTGTGTTTAGCTTGTCATTAATTAAAAAGAAATAAAAATTAAATAAAAAAATCAAAGTAGCTAGTATTGCTAAGTAAAACCAATTGTTATTAATTTGATTTTTTTGGGTTGAAAAAGAACCTATCTAGCAAGGTAAGGTGAACTAAAGAAGTTACCCAATACTATGGGTTTCATTTTAATTGATTACTGTTTTATATGTTATATTATATGTAATGTGTTATAGATCATAGCCTAAAATACAAAATCTAATTTTTCTGATACTGAAAAGATGTGCATCACATATATCTCTCTGAATATTTTATTCAAGATAAACTTATTGAATATTTAAAGTTTATAATAGTGAACTAAATTGATACATTCCGCTTCCTCTGTAAAACTACCTCTTTGATCTTCCTCAGAATTTTCTCTGAGAGTGAAAAATGTCTTACTCCACTTTTGCTGCTTGCCAGGAGGAGGAAGGATCAGCTTCTGGAGCTAAATACACAATTAAACTCAAAGGCACAACTGCAGTGTATGCACACAGATATCAGAAATGGCATGAGGCCATACATTACAAGTGGTAGGAAAGGCAAACTTACCACTCCAGCTTAAAATGAAGGCTAGAATAGATAAGCATCTGTCCTGAATGCTTTAGAAATTGGATATCCTTTCTTAAGACACAATTGCACAGGATAATCCACTCAGTGGGACTTTCTCAATCATATATTTGAGGTCTCTATTGTATTTTTTTACACTAAAGGATAATCGTTTATAAGAAGAAGAAAATATAATGTACATTGAGAAAACTTTTTTTATTTGCTGAAGACTAGGGCTAGGCCATAAATAAAGATAAAATAATTTTACAATCATTTAGTAGTAGTAGTAGAATATCATCTTTACTAAAAACAGCTGTTCAGATCAGCCCCTTGATGAAGCCTTGCATCGTTAATCCTGCTACATGTTTTGTAGCAATACATAAGCCACTTCTAGTTACAAGTATACTGGACTTCCAAATATTTTTCCACCAAAGGCTGCATTGTGTCAGGATCTTCCCTTTGAAGCATAATCCTAATAAATGTCTTCAGCAATTCAAGAAAGAACAGGAAGCTTTGCCGAAGTAATATTTACATTCTTAGTCCCAAGTAAAAATGTCTTGCACTCTACAATGGCTATAATGGATAAAAATGTGCAAAGGCCTCAGATTTAAAGCCTGTGTTTCTGCTTTTATGCTGTACTTTTAGCATTTTGCTTTAAGAAAAAATGTATACAGCAAGTACAGATTGTTCCTAATCATCACTTTCTTCTGCATCAAAAGAAAGCAAGCTACTATTTTTAACTTGCTTAGCTGAATTGTTAAAATTTGGTGAATTCTTCTTCATCTCTTTAATTTTCTTACTTGAAGTAACTGTCAAACCAAGATACTTCTCTTCTGCTGAACGCTTAGGAGGTTTCCGGAATAGAATCTTTCCATCTTCAGGATCAGTTTCTAGAGGTAATACACAAATGATTTTTTACATACTTTCTCTTCTTAACTACAATGATCCTACAGATTACATCAAGTACCTTAAGAAATAAAACTTGACAAAGCATATTTTTTACATACAAACTATTTAGATCATATTCTGCACTGTCACATAGAACTGGATTTTCTTTGCAAATTTTAGAGAGCATAAGTCATACAGATGTTTCAGTTACATCAGTCAGAGATTTTTCTGATTTATAAGCAATCTCCTCTTTGGTAACCTTAATCCTCAATCTCAGTTCTCTTACTATGAAGCAGGGGAGGCAATTTTCTTGCAGTCATGGGCTGCACTAAAGCTACAAAAACTATGCTGTAATTAATAGTTGTCAGAGTAAAGTCAAGCTTCTCCGAAGATTTTATTACAATCATATATTTTTTACAAAAATTAATCAAATTCAGAGTTCACTCCAAATCTATTGGAGCAGAAAAGGATATAGTTGATTTGAATAATATGCTGATCATTTTTAAAAAATCAGAAATCTTTCTGATCAAGAAGATAAGAAATCTGATTAAGACTACCAAATCTTGGTTACAGATATTCAGATGGCCACAAGATGGCATCCAAATATTCAGAATGTACTGCATTTCTGTGCAGTGACTGCAGAGTTTGGGAGCTAAATCTTGTGGCTCTGAACTGATTTTTTCCCCAAGGCAATAAAAAAAGATTCAGTCGACATAAACTATCTGACAAATAAACTGTTAAGTAGTGTTCTTAACATTTCTTGAAAACATTGGACTCTACTGATCCAGTTCAGTTATAGATATAATTTGTATCAAACAAGTAATGTTCCCTTTCTCTTTCCTGTTGTTCTCCTTCTCTGGTTCTCCAATATCTTACTTGATGGTTTATTAATTATAGTTTAATAAATTCTATTTTACAAACTATAGTTTGTCAAATAGTTTATTTCCACAAAAACTGGGAACCTAGTTCAAGGCATTGCTTTCTCTTTTGGTTCAGAATAATCATACATTATGCCAAATCAAACTTGGTGCACATAAGAAGGAGTCTATTGGATGCTGATTCAGAATTACTATTCAATTATATACTCCTAAAAATATAGTGGTTGCTCAGCAATACACACATATACACACACACAAAATCAGAATCCAAGTTTTTAATTCTAATATATGATATTCATTTTCTTGGATCAGTTCATAAGGAAGTCTTTTGGGATGAAAATACAAGAGAGTAAAAATCAGCTGTTGGATTAAAGTACTTCAAGGTGTTTTTTTTTTTAGTATATAGGAAAGCTACAGCTATAGTTCACAAACCAAATTTTATGTTGAAACTGCCTGTAATTAGTGTGATTTATAAATAAAATGTTACAAAAAATCATTACTTTTATTGGGCAGCCTGTTTGTTTTAAATAATAGAATATTTTAAAAATTGATTTTGTAATAAAAACGTATTCCAAACAACTCAGTGCAACGGGGTTTATCCTTATTTAATAATATACACTTTGTTCTTAAATCACAAGTATCAGAAAATTAATAATACATATTACTTCTTTGATAGATTAGCAGGACTTTTTCATTAAAAATGTTATGCTAGTCTCTGCATTGACAAATATGTCATATGTATTCCACTCATAATAACTAGGTTACTTAAAAACAATTTTAGAACCCAAAACATTATATTCCAAGGATTTCATATTTATATCTAAACAAGCAAAACAGAATATTCTTAATATGATAAGATAGCATTTTTCCATCTTGGCAATTTTAAGATGTAAAGACTTCAATTCCCAGAATTCACCATGATGGCATCTTAAAACTGCCAAGGTTAAGAAACATTGATAAGAAGTGCTGAAGAAAGAGTTGTCAGAGGATCCGACTGTTAAAAAGAAAAGTAATTCATAAAAAACTCACTACATGGTTCCATAGATTGAAAGCCAACACTGTGCACCATTTTAGAATGAGAACATTTTGTTTTACTAGGGTTCCATGTTTTTTAATTCAGCACTGGAACAGTCTAATCTAGAAGCTGTTATAATTATTTCTAAGGAAAATCTTCTAGAAAAATCACATCCTATATGTTAATTTCTAGTGACAAAAATAAAGAATAGGATGACTCAAGACACTTAAAGTTGTTAATTAAGTAACTATTTCTGGGAATTTTTGATTGATCCCATACTGGCAAAAGGAATGAATAAAGAAGATCAGCTAAAGTTTTCTGTAAGCTATTTGTGAAGAGGAAAAAAGATGATAAGATCTTAAAACAGCTTACTTAACAAGCTTAAATGCTGATTTGTGGAGGCCTGAAGAAAAAGATATCATTCTTTCAATTAAGAGCAAATTATTCAAAGCTCATCGTCAGATATAGGAAGAGTGATAAATTTCTTCTGAATACTCTATCTGGGCCGATGGTCTCCAAAAACTACTTAGTCCAGATAGAATTCAAAAAGAAATGTATAAAAGAAACAGATGCTGTGCCAGAGGCTTGGCAAAACTCTACCTTAGGATTTTTAAAAGTAAATAGTTGTAAAAAGTGAGCTAAAGCTTATCAGTCACCCTATCCTCAGATCATAAACATAAATTAATTTCAAAATGCAACAATAACATTAGCATACTAATATTTAGAAAAGAAAGAACATATTTAAAAGAGCAAGCAATCAAATATTTTAAAAATAGCTAATAATGTAAGAAGGGGCAATCTTTTTAACAGGAACTACATTCTGCTGTGTGGGGGATATAGGAGCTGTAATCCAACATATTTTGAGGGCATCCATTTTAAGATTGCTACAAAACATACCCAGAGCTGTTTCCTTTTTTCTGATCTATATTGTGGTCTTTTAATTTTTAAAAAGGAAAGAAAAAAATCCTACATTACTGATGAACAAGAACTGGGATTAGGTTATTTAAAATTAAAGACAAGGTTGTTTAGCTAAATTTATTTTATATGACAGAATTTAGTAGGCTTTCCTATACCTTATATCTCTGTAAAACCTCCCTGCGTCTCCCAACTCACATTTCCCTATCCTTAAATATCTCTCCTCTTCTTTTTTGGGGAATTCATCAACTGCATCCAGCCAGAACTTTTCCATTCTTCCCCTTCTTCTGAGCCCGTTTATTTTTTCTTCATATACTTCAAATGTATATACATTTATTATCTCTATATGAGTAAACTGTCTGCAACATATGTTGATGAAAATTCTCAGTCATCCAGAGAGGCTTATCTGAAAGCTGAGTCATGGCAATTGGGCTTATTTTCTTGTTTGTTTGAGAGACATTTTGCTGCCCATCCAAGCTGCTTTTACTTTTGCGGTTTTTTACAAATATTCATTCCTCACAACAGATCATATTCTATCCACTAATTTACTAGCGTTAATTTTTCCATTAATTTCTTGATACTTAGTAAACATTTTACCAAGTTTAATAAATTTAACTAGCGTCTCTAATTTTTCACAATTTAAGTAGAGCCTCCAATCTACTTAAATTGTGAAAAATTAAGAGATGCTAGATAAATGTATTAAACTTGATAAAATGTTTACTAAGTATCAAGAAATTGATGGAAAAATTAATGTTAGTAAATTAGTGGATAGAATATGGTCTGTTGTGAGGAATGAATATTTGTAAAAAAATGGCTTCCATCTACTTTGTCACATGGAAATAAAAATTGATTATGTCCATTTGGGTTATTTAATATATTATTAAAATGTATAAGGAATATTGTAGTGATGTTAGAAGTCTGTTGGCTTGGGATTGAAGATAGTTTTGTAAAGCAACACATCAGAAAATCAGTGTATTTGAACACTATGTTAGTTGTGACTTACAGGGGAAATGAAGGCAAAATTCACTTAATAACTGTCTTAACAACAGACATTTTGGGCACAATTGTGGTCATAAGTGAGGTTTAATACCCCAATTTATTGTTCACATGATACATTATTTTGTAAAGAGTTTTTGACAAGACAGCAATACTCTTCAGGATTCAAGTGGAAGCCTTGTAAAAAAACAAAACACTACATTAACTTACTGAGGTAATTTTATTTTACAAGTTAGTTTTACTCTCAGAACAAATTCATTTTAAAGTAAAATAATAATATATAACAGCTAAACACATCTTCATAAGAAAAAGTTTTTCCTGAATTGTAATTAAAAAGATTTAATTATCTGAAATTTGTGTGTTACGTTCTTAAAAGTAATAAAAAATACTTGCATGTGAAGAATAGTATAAGAATTTGTCTTCAAAACAGCCTAAGTTATCTGTCTCCCCAATTTAGCTATCGCTATCAAGCTCCATCGCATCCTGCCTACTATTCTTATCCCATTATTTCTTAAGTGGAGAGAGAAATGAAATAAAATAAAAGCATATTGGATACAAGAAATGAAGGAATACAGTAGTAGTTAAAGGAATAGGTCATTTCAGATGAATGTATTAAAATGAATGGTTGGCAAGAGGGGATAAAAGCATCTGCCTTATGCATCAACTTACTCCCTAAAATCCAGACCATTCCAACCTGTTGACTCTGAGAGATACTTTTAAGAGAACTTTTATGGGGAAGAATGTTAATTTATTTATTCAATTTGTATCTCAAACCAGTGACTCAGTCATTTTGACTTGGTCAGTCATATAAACTGGTCAGCATTGTATAAAAGGATGTTAACAAATAAGGATAACTTACAAAGAGGCACTTACAAAATACAGTTTACTGCAATTATAATTCAATAACTGATCAAATAAGTCCTGTTTCTACTACTATTAATACTGATTAGCTCAGCAACTTTGCAGCAAGTAAAATTTCCTGGTTTTCTTAATTATAAATTTTGCAAACAAAAAGCTTGCAATATCCTAGTGGATAGCTATAGATTAGGAAAAGATGAATCCTTCCTGTGCAGTCCTGTTTGTTTGTTTCTTGTTTATTTTTTTAAAACAAACCTCCAGACACCTGCAAAGGGTGGAAAACTAAACTAGTGGATTGGCTCCTGCTACAGCAACATTGCATTCTGCCTCCTTTTCCTAGAGGACAAATGGTGCAACAGTGACTTAGGTATTTACAATTCCACAATATACCTGTGACCTTAGAAACCTCTTTGATCTCCTTTTTGATCTTCACAACTTCTTCTGCAGTTAGATCTCCTGTTTTCAGTACAATCACTTGTGGTTGTTCATCTTCCTTGTCACTTCCACTGTCATCTTCAGGAACTGGAAGCTGTTCTCTCTGGAAAAGATATAAGTGCCAATCTACACAAATAGGTTACTCTTGAAAAAAAAACTTTAAATATGGGAAACAAAGTTTGAATAGTGAAATGGTTGAGCTAACAAGGTGAAGTTAGCCTTCTCTTCCAGTTTTCTGAGTCTTCCTATTGTGACCATATCTCCTACTTTGGAGTAACATTTAGAAATTCTTTATATCAGGGCTTTTCAACCAGTGGTACAGGGTGGTACATTGGCACCTGGCAGGTGGTACGCAACCCTGCCTAGCCTAGATAAGTGTAGCAGGGGGAGGGAACGAGCCAAAGCAGCACAGCGCAGAACTTGCCATGAGAGAGTCATCGGGAGCTGCAGGGTTGCTGGGGTGAGACAAAGGCCGCAGGATTGGCACTTCCGGTGCACCCAGAAGAGGAAGGAGAAGGGTGGAAACAGGAGAGAATATAAAAGGAGGCAGTTTTGATGGGAGAGGGGGAGAGGGGAAAAAACACCAGAGAGTGGGGGGGAGACAGAAGAGGAAAGGCTTTTGTCAGATAAGCGGTGAAGAGAGAGGGGGGGAGGCTTTCTGGGAGGGTCTAGAAGGGCAGCTTCACTCCCCTAAAACACTGTCCTCTCACGAAAGCAGGATGACAACTCTAAAAAATGATCAGGAAAAAAGGTAAAATAAAACAGAAGAATGTCTCTTCTGAACAATTTAAAAAAAGATCAGATCCGCATCCAGCTCTTGGGGGGTGAAATGGGGGATTTTTATGTTTTGCCTCGTTTTGCTCTTTTAAAAAAAAACTGTGTCCCCCCCCCCCCCGAATGCCATAAGAAACCCAGAATAAGACTGAAAAGAAGTGAAAGTGAAAGTTGTATGTAATGGACTAAAGGCAACCTAGAATTATGGACTGATTTAAGGACTAAGATTATGAGTTAGATGGAAGGGAAACGGGTGATTAATGCAAGATACACAAAGTTTATCTATATGAAAAATATTATTTCTAATAAGATGATTTATTTGTTTGATGCTCAATGAATTGAAATAATTTAAGGTTTAACTATCTTGTCAGCTTAAAGAGATTGATTGATGGATTAGATAGATCTAGGATAGATCAATATTTTAGTTAAAAAAGGAGACATTTTCAGGAAATAGATTAAAGGTAATCTAGAATTATGGGTTGATTTTAGGATTAAGATTGTTAGTAAGAAGTAAGAGAAAAAGGGGTGATTAATGGAATATATATTAACTGGATTAAGAGTGTGTTCTCTTTTTAGGATGATAGGGTTGCTTGTAAGAAAATTATTATGTAATGTTGAGTTAATCTAATAAGATGATTTGATTGTTTGATAACATGAATCTTATTAGTTATGACAGTTAACTGGATGTAATTTGAATTTTGTTTAATAGATTGAAATGATTTAAGGTCTGATTTTCTTCTGTCAGTTTAAAGAGATTGATTAATTGATGGACTAGATATGTATAGGATATTAATATGCCATTTTAATTAAGGGATATTAGTGGAAGAATAAAATTTATGATAAAATCAAGAAACTAAAATATATCTGGAAGGGATGCCCGAATTGATAATGTTTGTACTTAAAGTTAATTTGATTATGATAGTGTAAATTTCTAAAGCTTTAAAAACAGGTATAGGTCGAATAAATTTAAGCTAGAATTGGACTATTTTAAATAAATTATGTTACTTAAGGGAAAAAAAGAGGAATTATTAGATGTATTGACTGAATTATGTATATACCGGTATGTTTTGTCTTTGGATGTTTGACTACCCTAACACCATGGTACGTCTTGAGCATTTTGTTTGAAAAATTAAAAAAACCAATAAAATTTCTTCCTAAAAAAAAAAGAGAATGCAGTATTTCAGGCAAACTCTGCCCACAGCCCAGAGTTCGATCCTGACGGGGCTCAACTCAGCCTTCCATCCTTTTGAGGTTGGTAAAATGAGGACCCAGATTGTTGAGAGCAATATGCTGACACTATAAACTGCCCAGAGAGTGCCGTCAAGCCCCATGGGGTTGACGGCGATTGCTCTCATCTGCAGACCAAATGAATCCTGAAAAGCCTTTGGTGTGATTCTTGGAGAACTCCAAAAATTCTTACAATACCACAGTTTTGAATAATCTAAGGAAGAAAGTATTTAAAATAGACTAGAGCTTGAAGGGACCTTGAAGGTCTTCTAGTCCAGCCCCTTATATAGGTGGCTGTCCAGTCTCTTCTTTAAAACCTCCAACGATGAAGCACACATAACTTCTGAAGGCAAGCTTCTCCACTGGTTAATTGTTCTAACTATTAGGAAGTTTCTCTTTAATTGCAGATAGTATCTATCCTTGATTAGTTTCCATTCACTGTTTCTTGTCTTGCCTTGGTTTGGAAAATAAATTGACCCTCTCTTCTTTGTGGCAGCCCCTCAAATACTGGAATACTGCTATCATGTCCCCTGCAAGTCCTTCTTTTCTCTAGACTAGCCAAACCCAAATTCTACAACCATTCTTTTTATGTTTTAGTCTCCAGACTTTTATCATCTTTGTTGCTCTCTCTGCAACTAAGTCTCAACATCTTTTGTGTAGTGTGATGACCAAAACTGGATGCAGTATTTCAAATGTGGTCCCGACTCAGAAAATTCAGACACCACAGTCTTGCCAGCCCTCTCTCGCAGCCCTGGTGGGGAATAGGTGGGGCGGCTACCACTTTCCGCCTCGTGCTGAACGAAGGATCCGGGGATGGATTTTAAGGAAAGGACGGGTCAAAAGGATGGAAAAAGAGGGGGGGTTGATGCTGTTACCTTGGTATCCACAGTGGGCCCCTCCCGATAGCCGATTCGCTCTTTGAAACGACTCAGGAAAGCGGGTTCAGCCGGCTTCACATACGAAACCTGATTCTTTTTGCTCATGATCGAGGATTGAAGAGACAGCAGCTCCAGTCACTCGTCCATTTTGCTTCCGCATATGTCATGTGGGAGGAGCTGATCTCAGCGACTTCCTTTCCCTGCTTGCCAATGGTTGCGTCCATCTTGGCTTCAGGGCAGGAGCTGCGGCTGCCTGGGCGCCTAATTTAAAGAGGGCGTCAGTTCAGCGCTAAACGGAGACGGAACTGAAGGGGTGGAAAGAAGAGGATGTTGTCCGAGATCACCAGGTCAGGTGGCTAAGAGAAGACGACTAGTGGGAGGCTAAAATGGGTCTATAGGAAGAAGACGGAGCTGAGAAAAGGCTTCGCTATCGAGAGCTTCAAATTGAAATGGTCAAGAGAGCATCTGGGAGGATTGCCTCGTTAGCCCCCAGGGCCATTGATATTTTGTTGTGAAACACAGTTCCGGAACAGTCATTTCACTTTGATTTCTTAGCTGACTCTATTTTTCATTTATTAGAACAGTAATATTTAGTGTAACTGCACTGATAACATGTTTTTTAAATGCCTACAGTGGTATAATCTAAAAAAAAAAAAACCTGAATGATTCAGTTTGCCCAAATTCTGTTTTTCCTATATCAGTTATAGGGGCTTAAAACAAATTTATGGAAGGCAAGTCTACTTAGAGGGACATGGAGTGCATATTGATTGTAAGATTTGGTGTCAAGGTGGAAAGTACTCTTATTTACTTCGGAACAACTCAGCTAATCTTACAGAGGTATCAGAAGTTGGATTCATGAATCGAAAGGGGTATTCAGCCAGTTCCTGACTCTGAAATAACACAAGAATATGCCAGTGCAATTTGCTCTGATGGAAGCCTTTTTTTCTTGCTTAGTTTTATGTAGTATTACATTTGTTCAGTTCTTTTTTTAGTTGAGTCAAAGATGTGGCGACTTCATCTACTAGGTAAAAATTTCCTATTTAAAAATGCTACTGATTTTGATACTCCATCAAAGACTAACATAAGATGTAGGAATTCTATCAGTTTCCAAGAATCACTCTTACATCACTCTTTCTCACTATAATTAAGCTTAATAATGCTTAATTATAATTCTCGCAAAATATATTAGCATATCATTTTTACTATATGTTTATAACAGTGTGTTCTATTTTTTTACTTTTGCCTTACATCAGCAGGTCAAAATAATTTGGTAAATTTTTACTACCATTAATTAGAAATATATCTTTAGCGGTGGTGATAATGCTATCAAGGTTTATGTAAGGAACTACAGTTGCTGGTAGACATAACGGTTTTCAGAAGGAACTACAGTTGCTGGTAGACATAAGGGTTTTGTTTATCTGTTCTTTCATCAAATAGTATCCATTTACATTCAAAACCTGAACCTCAGATTTTCACATTTAATCATATGGCAGACGCAAGTACAACTCAGGTAATTTATCAAAGTTTACATGTATAAATATGACATTATACCAGGACTTTTGCCCAATAAAGAACTAATGAGTGGCCAAAATAGGGTTGATTTTTTTTTTAAGCAGACTGATGATATCATTTGTTGCCAAGTAGTTTTAGTTACCTGTTGCTTTGTCTATAGGATTAATTCTTGAGCTCAAATTAAGGCACTATCTCTTCAGAAAAAAATAAAATGTTACTTTTTGTGCTATTCAACAAACTCTCATTTAAGTCATTTAATATATTGTTTTTATGTAAATTATATTCATTAGACTCTTTCTCATAATAACTCCAACCTTGACAACTTTTAAGAAGAATGGACCAACTCCCCAGACATATCTCCCAAACACAGCTTAGACTTGCTAAGGTTGAGATATACTGCTCTTTCTTGCAAGCTGTTAACTGAATGCAAGTCTCATTGATTTTACTATATTAGGTATTTTACCAGTTCTGTAATGTCAGCAGAATTGCTTATATTGAATGGGGGGGGATCTTAATGTCATAACATATAGTAACTGCAGCTTGAATAAATCCAGTGCATGATGAAGGCCTTTTTACTGAAGGTTTTGAAATAAAATCTATCCTGCTATATCAGCATGAGTCTGTTGATTAAAAAAAATGATCTCTGTATTCCATCCATAGTATCCAACACTGATTCCTTCCAAGGCTATGAGAGATGGTAACTAGCTTGAAATCCATCAGTTGGTTTCTATATCTAAAGAAGAAATAGAATCTTGAGTTTTTCTGCTCATAGTCTAGCATCTTATCCACAATATTGGCTCTCAAGGTAGATAAATATCCAGATGTACTGTGTACATATGTACTGTTCAATAAAGAGAGTTCTATATCCAGATATGTACTGTTCAATAAACAGTTCTGTGCACATTATATTTTTGAATTTATGACATAAAAATATTTTCATCAGTATAAATGTTAATCTGATTTTTTCTGTACAGGAATCAGTATTCTCAAGCATAACCAAAAATATAATGAAATCATGCTACAGTGGAACCATTTTGCTTAGTAAGCTGTCAGCTTCATTTCTTTATTACATTTATGTAGCATATACCAGCAAAACTAATCTGTGGCAATTAACAAAAGTCCAAAACAATAAATAAAAGTAAAATAAAATAAAAACTAGAGATCATAAAACAAATATTTTTTTTAAAAAAAACAATATACTCCATAGTGTATGACATTATAAAATCAGTGAGGCAAACAAAAGAAATTCTTTACCAGAAAACCTAGAACAAACATGTCAAACTCGTGACGTCACGTGATGTCATGCGATATATTGGAACTTTTTCCCCATTGCAGCAATGGGGTGGGCGCGGTTTCCTCTTGACGCGTCTGGCCCGCTGGTCGGCAGTTTGACACCCCTGACCTAGAATATAAAATAAAAATGGAAAATGGGTTTTGCTCTATTAATGGAAGACTCAGATTAAATTCACCCTCAATTCTCGGCAGAGCTATCCAACCGAACCAAAATCTAGAATATCTTGGTTATCAGGGACTTTGCCTAAGACAAATTTGGAGAATCCTATGGAGCAATAAGACAATCTCTTGTCTTTCTCACTTTTCTTTCCCATTTGTTGCATAACCTGGATAACTGTCCACTAGATATTTTTATTCCTTTCTTTTCTTTATCTTCCATACATGTTCTCATTGTCCTCATACCTTTTTCAGTGACCTGCCCCAGTTTGGGATATCTTTTCCTGGATCATAAATTTTGTTCTGGATCAATGCCTAGAATACACATACATGTTCCAAGGACATATTTCAGTCTAGACATTTGCCACCCAGAATTGTTTAGTCTATGCAGAATATTTTGTATATCTATCTACTACTAACTCTCGTGCTCGTAATTGGATGGATCAGTATGCCTTCGGGCAAACGTTTTCAACAAAGTAACTCAGATGGACCCATTACTCCCATGGAAATAAAATTTTGGAAAGTTATTGCTGTTTCAATGCTTCTGTGCGACTGCTTTTCAGCACCACTGTTGCAATCACATCATCCTCATTTATAATGTTCCCTCTCACCTTCCTACAAGTTAATAAGGAAGCATGGAAAGCTTGCGGGGGAAAAATCAGTAGGGATCACATAACAGCAGTTGATAGGACACAGGGGTGACTTTGGAATTCTCTGCTTAAGTAAAAAAAAAAATGTGAAAGAATGAACCCTTAATCACAGGTTGTCTAGTTTCTAGCTAAAACCTATAACAGTAGTAATTTTATAATTTACCCAGAAAACGTTATTGGGAATTTTAGAAACCTAATCATTAACATCAGGGAAGACATTTACCATGATCGGTAATTATGTAGTCATTGATTTGTGTCTGAGTTTGAGATACTGACTGTATAGTAGTTCTATATTCTGTGCTAACTACATGACCAATTTCTCTTGTTTTAGAATTAGCCTATTGAAATGAGTTTGTGAACTGTGTCAAACATGATATAATTAACCAAGTATATATTTTGATTATGTGTACAAATATTGTTCTGGATCTAATACTTTTTTCACTAATAAGAAAGAAAAGGATAGGGGAAGCTCTACGACAGGTGCCCAACCTCCAGTCCACAGACTGGCACTGGTCCGTCAGTAACTGGGCCACGCAAGTGAGCAGAGCCCCATCTGTGTACACATGAGATCCACAGAAAAACTGTCCTGCATGGAACCAGTCCCTGGTGCCCAAAATGTTGGGGGCTACTGCTTTACGATTACGAGCATAATGATGTAGAAAGGTTAGTTTTGAAAGGAGAAAGTAAGCTTGTATGTTAATAGTATTGTTTGTCTATTAAGGAAAGGGCCACAATGGCTCACATGGTTAAGATGATGAGTCAGAAAACCATTGAGAGGTTGACAGATTGGCAATTCGAAGTCCAAGAGTGCAAAATGCATGATGGAATGAGCTCCCCTCAGTTTGTCCCAGCTGCTGCCAATCTAGTATTCTGAAAGCATGCAGATGCAAATAGATAAGTAGAAGTAGTGTATACCTTTTTTTAATGAAAATTATCAGCACTTTTGATCAGTGACGTCATCAAAGTAAACAAACCCACGTGCTGATTACGTCAACAGGGCACAGCCCTAAAAGGAAGTGACGTGCTCAGCCCCCACCCTCCGGATGTGACGTTTTGGCCTAATCCCATCAAGATTGGCAGTCAATCCTCTGGGTACATGATTAGGTTAACCCTAGACTAATTCTATGGACATTCAAAACCAAAAAGAGCTAAGTAAAGTGAATAATTAGCAGAGGCCTGTGTTTTTGGGGAACAAGCCCTACTTTGGGGAGCTGTTAACCCTAGACTATTTCTATGGACATTCAAAACCCAAAAGAGCTAAGTGAATAATTAGCAGAGGCCTGTGTTTTTGGGAAACAAGCCCTACTTTGGGGAGCTGTGAAATAAAAAATAAAAAAGGCTTTTTATTTCTAATCATTCTAGCCTAACGATGCTTTTAATTTTTGTGGAGTTTTAAAAATCAGTGCCTCAAAAGCTGGGGAAAAAGAAGCCCCTGAAAGGCAGCCAGAGCCTGCATTTAACCCCTTTTTTCTAAAAGATATTTTTTTCTAAAAGGTATTTATGTCTAGGTGGCTTTAAAAGCATTTCCTCGAATGCAGGGGAAAAAACAAACAAACACAGC